ACACTCAAGTTATCCGTGCTGGGAAGACAATTGATACAGCGAGAGAAGTACCGCCTTCTGCGCCTTTGTCACCGTTCCCGTACAGAAATCGATCATCGCCAGTCAAACACAGACACATCGGTGACTGATGCTTTCAAATACGATTGACTTCTATATTACTGAAAAAAACATGCTTTTGAATTTAATTCAAAATACATATTTTAGTTTTAAATATGTTTTCAATTTACTTTGAATCATTCATATGTTTAGAGTATAAACAGATTTATTTTTGATTTGAATGAACAAAATTCGTATCCGTGGAGAAATAAATAATATTTCTACATGTAATTTTTTTTTAATATTCTAAGAAAAAAAAAATTGATTTTCTTGAATTTTTGATAATTTTTCCCATTATTAAAAAAAAACGTGTCGAAAAAACTATATTTTCGGGGCGGTAATCTTCCCCGTACATTTTGGGGTTAAATACAAAGAGGCAAAACGTGCTTAACATAATTTTCTATTGTAATTCTGTTTTCGTTCACATCCATCAAATTAAATTCGTTATTTCTTATTTAGGTTGAACCAGTTAACAGAAACAAACATTCCTTTCATTGTCGCATTCTCCACTGCTTTGACAGGGGCGTGATCCAGGGTATAGGTTTTTGCCCTGCCTACACCTCGGCAGTATTGAAATCCGACTACATTTCCAATCACGAACCGATCGTTGCATGTGATTTGGCACCAATCACCAACGTAGATTTCCTCGTGGGTCCCGGGAGATGTATGTTTATAGGGTCTATTCTGAAGTCACAACAGCGGTAGCGATACAATCTATCAGAGCTGACATTATCCTTAACGTAGCAAAAGGGCCTGTGAAATTTTTGTTTCACGGGCCAATAAGGAAAGGGGGCTAACGGTACGCTGGGGGTAATTTAAGTACATTTCTCGCTGTCAATTAATGGAGTTAATGTACTTAATTTATGCGACTTGCAATTAAAGCTAAAATTTGTACTTAAAAGTAATTAAATAAAAAAAAATTCCGACGCTCGTAATTAAAGTAATTAATCATGTAGTTAACTGTAATTATTGTACTTAAAAAAGGCTTGCGTAGGAGTTAAAGGTTATTGCGTGCCCCTCGCTGTTTGACACTGTTTGCAAATGTAATCGTACTTATTCAAAATAGTTCCAGTGTACCAAAATTGATGAAATTTTGGGTTTGGGTTCCATTTTTAATGCAGATTACGAATATGCATTTACCTCAATACCCTTAAAGAACCCAATTAATCGTTAGAGGCATACTGAAGCATTAAGAAGGTGATATGTGTCACTATAGGAAATCATCATCGTTGCAAATATAAAGAAATTAAACATAACCCTTTGCTTCAGTACCGTCAACCTCCATGTCCATGGGGAGGGATTATATAAATCTTAATTTTTCTCATCAAAAATATATGGAAGCACCAACCGGATCACTGCAAACCCGATACAGAAATATAAAAATATTCCACGTGGATGATGATTTCAAGCACCTGCGGTGGATAAATTAATCAGCAAAGGTGAAAAAATTGTCCTCTTCCTACCCTAATAAAAATTGTATGGTTAATTTGCTTAACGACGTGTTCTGGGTATCATCCAAACCATTTGTGGAATAGTTCAATGATTTGGGTTATCGTTCGTTTATGGTTATTTTTTATTAGGGTATGCTTCACGGTGAACATTTCCACCCTCATCACTCTTTTGATGGTTCCCCTATTCACAACCAGAGGCTGAAACGATCGTTTAGTTTCTACTGGATTCGCCTATAGTCCTCTCCAGCCAGGTTCGTATTGGTGCGATTTGCGTGTGTTAGTGAGATGAAATTTTTTATTGGCCGTGAGAAATTTTTTGTTTGCTGTAAGAACTGTCATTCTAAAGTAAAAATAAAAACAAAACGAAACAAACCCTAACGCTTGCACGGTAACAGTCAAGTACCCTTTTGTGAGTAAAGGTTAACCCATTTTTGATAAAAATGGTTTTACTCATTAATGAGTAAGTTATTTTAACAACCTAAGAGAAGAGATGACAACCCTAATAAAAAATAACCATAAACGAACGATAACCCAAATCATTGAACCACAGACAAACAGACATAACACTCGCAAATTGTTCATCGAACAAGCATTTAACGGACAATTTAAAAGTTTCGTAGTTGGTAGTACCGCCACCTGTGGCGCGCATAGTCAATTCCCTTGTGTTTGACGTTTACACACTACCGCCATCTGTTCAGCGTACTACCCACCACAGTGTACTCAACAGATGGCGGTAATGTTTAAGCAACGATGTTTTACAGTGAGAAATATTCAATGTGTTATGTCTGTTTGTCTGTGATTGAACTATGCCACAAATGGTTTGGATGATACGCAGAACACGTCGTTAAGCAAATTAACCATACAATTTTTATTAGGGAATACGGGGGCGAAAATGAAACGTGAACCAGCTCCTGATTGGCTGATTTCATGTGCGTAAGATAGAGATAGAGATAGATAAAGATAGGGATAGAGATAGAAATAAAAGAGGAAGAAGCCAATTGTCACCTCTTCCTCTTAGTTAACAAAAATTAATTTCTGCTAACAGTAGCTAACAGTTACTACTTAATTGGCATAATGAATTACTCATTAATTAGTGGTGCCGCTTTTATTGACAATGGGTTCACTTTTACTCATAAATGGATGTTTGATTCTTACCGTGCACATGACAGTGTACGCTAGTGTGTGTAAAATTATGTTATTAGTGTACACGGTTAGAAAAAGTACCCAAAATTAAGTTCTTTTCACTCATCTCGGCACTATAGTGCAGGAACCCAAAAGTAGGTAAAGCGGGTCAAAGTAATTTTCATTTACTTGTGTGCAGTTCGTATGGAATTTTCCACTAGCTTTTTAACCAAAAGTAAGTTAGTTGCACCCAACAGTAGGTAAATATGATTATACCCAACGTTGGGTTCCCACACTTTACTACCCCTGTTGGGTGGTTTTGCTCCTTCTTTTTTGACAACATTAGAAGGATAAAATGAGACAAACTAGTCAAAAGTAGGTAAAAGTGAACTGGCCGTTGGGTACTTTTTTCTTACCGTGTAGTGTTCGTGAGATCCTGCTTGGAGAACTCAATTGGCAAATCAAAGTTGGCACTCGTGGTGAATAGAAGAACTACGAGAGTGATGATGTTTTCAAAATTTTCCACGGGGAGGTATACGCCTTTTTAATGCACCACCAATGTAGAGTGCGCCACGCGAGTTCGAGAAGAAACGTCAACCAAACCGTTTGTTTACATCAGAATAAGTATTTTCCCCAACGCAAATAACAGCATTTTTCATTCAAAATCTTGCCAATTTCCATCGGTAATTGTCTTATTGTACGATTTTCCACAAATCTGAACTGATTTGCACCTTAACTATTCACACACAAGAAATCCGGAAGATCATAACCACTAATACCCTGGACAGACTATGGCTTATATCATGTAATATAAGCTATCTTGAAATGAGCACTCATACATCTAGTTTTCACTGGAAATCCTATGTATGAGTGCTCATTGCAAGACAGCCTATATTAAATGATATAAGCCATAGTCTGTCCAGAGTATAAGGCACTTTTCTAATTTTCTATTTTTGTCAACAAAAATATTCCTGAGATTAAGTTTTGCAGCATCTCAGATGAATCAATTTTTCAGGAAAAGTAAAAAAGTGTTCCGTTTCCTATGTCTCAAGGCAAAAATTTATGCTCACAACACTGTTTTAGACGTTCTCCTATTCACCACCAGAGGTTGAATCGATCGTTTAGTTTCTATTAAAAAGGCCTATACGAGTGTAATCTTAAAATGCTTTGATTTTGCAAATGGAGATTTCGTCCGGTGAGGTTCTTTGCTGTTTTCACGGTAAATTATTCATAACAATTTTGCACTCCCAGGGAAAGGTTACCTCCTGCGGAAAATATGCGATTTCCACCGAAAAGAAAGTGGAAACCGAGTGCATTTACTAAGGAAAGCTTCTATCATGCTAGTAATATTGGAGAAATCCCTAATAAAAATAACAATAAAAGAGAGCTTAACGACGTGTTCGGGGTATCATCCAAACCCAAGAATCCAAACCATTTGTGGGATAGTTTACCCATCCGGGATACAGTTCGTTTATGGTATTTGTTTATTAGGGATGGTTGTATAGGACGGTATTATTCAATAATAGTTCATAATAATCCTTTTAAAGCAAATATTTGGATAAAACTACTAAAGCTGGGAAGCTTTTAATATAAAAACGCATTATTTTTAATGATACAAATTTGTGTGTTTTGTGTGTATGAACATATGTACCAAAAATTAAAATTTTCATAACATGTTTTTAAATTACCAATTATTTTATGATTTTTCTAGTACAACCTTGCATTCTGATGCTGTTTATTCAATAAAAAAAAAATCAAAATTGATATATATGGCCACCCGTAAAAAAAATCCAATAAAAATACAATGATTTTTATTGTCATTGTAACCATGTTATTTACTGTCAAAACATTGGACATTTTTGTCCATCACCATAAAATCACAACGAAATTCATGGTTCACAACAATGAAAATCATGGTATTTGAGAAATTTACAGTAAAAAAGGGGGGTTGTTAAGCATCTTAACAATATAAAAAAGTGATTTTTCTCGAACAAATTTGATCTCATCACACTAATTTTCGTTGTTTGAGCATTGTATCGTTAAAAATCTAAATCCATTTTTTCTCCCGTACAATAATTTAACAATAAATTTTAATGTACTAGAAATTCAACAGTAAAAATCATTGTAATTTCGTTGTTTTATTATAATTATTTTTTTTCGGGCAATGCACCACTTTCGCTCGCAACGGCTCATGTAATTAACTAATAATGGGTACTCTCAAGTTACAGTGTATAGGCCGAGTTGAGAGGCTTCGGTTTTTTTTCAGTTTCGGGAACATTGAAACGCTTTGAAACATTGACTGCGAACGAACTGTCAAATCACGATTAGTGCATCAGAGACCATAACAACAGTGCTAACGCAAATATTTTAGCATAACAAACAACATTAATTTAATAATCAAATCTTCAACAAAAAAGATTAAACATGCCGAAAGTCGTGTCGCGAAGTATTGTTTGTTCTGATTCCAAGGATCAAGAAGAGTATAATGATACCGGGCCTTTAAATATCTACTATTGTCTGTGTGGACAGATGAGTTTGATTTTAGGTTTGTTACACCCAAACGGAGAATGTAATGTCATGTTCAGACTGAACAGTTATAGAAAAGGCTATCTTGATGACATTTTGCTTGTATATAATTACTCTAACCTTTTAGAACTAGTCTGAACAGGCCATAATATTCTCTTACAGTTCTGCATATAAAATAAATCGAATCCGTAAGGAATAACTTCATGAACAGATTCTGTAATGAAGTCGGAAAACTTCAAACAATTGTGTAAAATTATTATGATGCTATGTTAGACTACAGAGTTATAACATGATAGGGGAAAAGTTGGCTTCGGCAATACCTTTACCTATTATCGTCAGGGGGTAAACAAAGTCCTAGAGCACTCAAATTTGGCCAATAGTTGCTCTGAAACACAATGTATCCACATGCCAAAATTGAGCTCTCAAAGACGTTGTTTACCCCCCTGACGATAATAGGTTAAGGTATTGCCGAAGCCAACTTTTCCCTTTTAATAATTGATATTAAAGAAAATCACATAAAGGTAGCTAATTTTATGATACATTTGCGTCTAGTCATTAACCCAAGTTAAATACATTTGCCCAAGATAATCTGGTTTACGTTCGAACCGTATTTTCTACACAAATCATTTGTATGAAAAACCGGGTTGAACGAAAATCAGAATATCATATCAGTGGGTATCATTATTCCCGGAGGGGTTTTTTTTTGCCCGTTTTCCATTAGAGTGCTGATCGAGTATGCTATCATTGCAGTGAACTAAAAGAACTCCAAGTAGCCGGAAATAGTAATACGGATGAAAAAATCATTCGGGAATGAGGATTCATCCCTGATGGGTGACGATCCATATTGTGGTTTTCGTTCGGGTTTGGAAACCGTGACGAAAAATAATAGGTTTTTATACATTTTCCGATGAGAAATCGAGAGATCTTTGGATTTTGATGATTAATTGCCGCCAAAATGCACCAAAATCTTAGGAGCTTATTACGGATGTCACTTCACGATGAAAACTTGTCACTTGTCGTCACGGTGAAGTGATTCCCATTTGATTTGTACGGCAATCACGGCTCTTATTATGAGTATCACTTCCTTATCACCGTGTAGTGACACCCGTAATAAGGCCCTTAGTCTCGATCAATTTGTATAGTTAACCGCGATGGAACAGCAGTTCTACGCCAAATGACGCATCGATCAGAGTCGACCTTCTCCGATTTGCATGAATCTTTGCATAATTGTTTGTTATGGGCAATCATTCACATTTCTGTCATTTTGACCATTTTGAATCTTCCATTTTTTTTTCAAAATGGCGTATTCCACATTTTTCAATAAATCGTTGCACTTCTAATCGAAATGACGTCTGGGTCTGCACACTTAATTTAAAACTGATTAACATAACATATTTTTATTAGTATTTTTGAAATGTTACCATTGTAAATACTACTTCATGTGCTCTAGGCAGGAGCGTTTGTCGAACGTATATAAAACATTTAGCTAAAATCGAGATTAATAATTTTCATCTCTATCTTGTGTCGTTTTCTCTAGATTGTATTGTAGAGAAACTTCCCCTTCGGCAACTGGACGGTGCACGGGTAATCGATTCCGCAAAACACGCCAACAAAATCACAGCTGAACCGGGCGAGACGGTGTTCATCCGAAGAGAAGCTGGTATCGAAAAACAGCACCGTTTTAAATGCAAAAAGTGTGCTCTTCCGCTATACTACCGCCACACGAACGACCTTCAGGTCACATTTATCATACGACGAGCTCTAGTTAAGTCCAAAAGCGATACCCGCATTACGGATCTGTTCAAACCCATTCTGGCAGCTTCTCCGTTGGAGCCGAAAAAGGTCATGGTCACTAAGCACACAAAGAACATGGGTAAATTTAGCTCCGTTACCGTTTCTACCATTGATGAAGAAGAGGACGAAATCGAAGCGCGGGAGGTTGCGGACAGTTATGCTAACAACGCACGTATAATAGAGAAGCAGCTTGAACGTAAGGGTGGTAAAACCAACGAGGTTGTCATCAAAGAAAAGAGTGAACCTCCACCAGCTAAAAAATCCCGAGGAACTCTTTTGGACGCTTGAACATCTCAAAAACTCAAAAATGTATCTAAATAAAAAAAAAAACTACATCAATCAGGACAAATGATTTTGTTTTTCAATATTAGTCAAAGTAGGGAAACTAGGGGCAAAAAGGTCACCCGTGGCAAGAAAGCCACCCCCAATATATTTTGGAAATAATGACATTTTTAATGTTACCTGTGGGGCTTCCCTAAGTTCAGTCGGTAAAGGCGCAGCTACAAAGCAAGACCATGCTGGAGGCGGCTGGGTTCGATTCCCGGTCCGGTCTAGTAATTTTTCGGGTTGGAAAATTTCTCGACTTCCCTGGGCATAGAAGTATGATTGGACTTGCTACACAATCATATCAATGCAAAAATGGTACAGGCATCGAAAGCTCTCAATTAATAACTGTGGAAGTGCATCTAGAACACTAAGTTGAGAACACGCAATAAGCTAATATGCGATATGCAATAAGCTTGAAATGCGAAGAAGAAGAAGAAGAATGCTACCTCACCATGAATCTATGCATCTATGCATAGTATTGGTATTCGTATGAAGCATTTTAGAAAGCTCTGCCCGAAACGAAGGATTTCTGAATTGTTTCGAGGAATCTATGTTTCGAGGTGCATCGATTAGCTGGGGACCGAAGAAGAGCTGAGCTAAAAAGTTGAGCACGTTTCTTCGAAACCTTCTATTCTTAGAGTTACCTTCCGAAGGAAGACGTGACCAGTGGTAGAACCATAGAGGGGTGCATCGATTAGCTTGGGACCGAAGATAGTACCAGAGCTGAGCCAAAAAGTTGTGCACGTTTTTTCGGGACCTTCTGGTCTTAGAGTTACCTCTATGCTAACTCTAAGACCAGTAGGTCCCGAAGAAACGTGTTCAACTTTTTGGCTCAGCTCTGGTACTATCTTCGGTCCCAAGCTAATCGATTCACCCCTCGAAAGATAGGAAAATCCACTAACCCCTCATTTTACCTGTCAACATTTCATAGCGAATCATAACAAACATTGTGTAGTAATACAATTTTGACTAGAATGGAGTACGTAATCGATTTGCTTGGGACACCAAGTAGTGAGCCAATTTAAAATCGTTAGTTTCCACCGGTGCTTCAATCATAGAGGTAACTCTAAGACCAGAAGGTCCCGAAGAAACGTGCTCTTATTTTTTGGCTCACTTTTTTTTGGCTTTTTATCACACTTTTTAATAAGTTAAAATGCGATCATTTGTCCAGTTAGACGTGAAGTACGCAATAGATTCACATTGATCTAACACACAAAATAATCACTATTTGATCTCACAGAACTTTATTTTTGACACTGTAGACTCTGGGTTTTGTTCCAGACAAATTGGTTACATTCAAGATTCTCCGGAAGGTTTGATTGCATACTTGTAGCATTAACGGATTGAGAATAATAAACAAAATCGGCACTATTTTCGCCGTCATGTTCATCCGGGTGTAGGAAAATTTCGTCAAGATATTCAATATCTTGATACTGCATACTTGATACTGCATACTTGATACGACATACTTGATACTGTCGAGGTTTGTGGGCTTGGATGTATGTTCTCAATATCATCAACGTCATCCTCCATACTACGATCAGTGCGTTTTAGATGAGAAATTTGCTGGACATCTGAGTAGCAGGGAATCGCCCCGGAAACTTTTCTGATTTTTCCTCCACAGTCCAAATACACATGCTCCTCGCCAAAGTGCAACTAAAATCGGTTTGAAAAGCTTTGCTGTTAAGTCTTCACTTGTGAAAAATAAGTTTACTTACGCTACAAAGTCGGTTACTTCCGACTATTCGAAAATCTTCCGGCAGTCCGCAAAACAGTTTTCATTGTTTCAGAATGCCATTCTTCGCGGGGAATCGGAAAAAAACCCAACATTTTTTATGCCATAGTGGGAATTATTCATGCAACCTTTATATAAACCCTATCTACGATGCAGGAAATATTGTGTTTTGCTGTGGCTAGCTGTGCGTACACTGAGTAGATAGAAAGAAGATTTATCACGATTTTGAAGATTTCCTGCAAAAAGATGATGCGCGATGCAAGTAGATGCGAGAAATGAAAGAAGATTTTTTGAAAATTTATTCGCTAGTGTGAGATTTATTGAGCATCTAAATTTTAGATGTGTCGCCCCCCTCGATATAAACACTTAATTTTCAAACCAAAATTCAAGAGCAAATTTTCATTATGTCGTAAGTAACATTCGCACCGATCCGAGAAAAATAAAGTTTTGTTTTGATGACCGAAAAGTTATTCCTATTTCCAATTAAACACATATAATCTCATAGTGATAGCAATGTTTAACATATTTAGTCGGGTTTTGATCATACAAAGGCAAATCGCTAGCTTTCATGCTAAGAAATAATGGTTTTTGAGTCAAAAGTTATTATACGTCGTTTGGTGGCCCCTATTGTTACTTAAGTCAAAGTGTATTTACCAGGATATTCGGGAGAATTATCAATTACGTCTCCTTACGTGCAGCCCATTCATCATTTTAGGTCCACCGAAATCATCTTAGCAACAAACAGTTCTATTTATTCACTTTAATAATGAGAAAGCGAAACGACGAAAGTACACTTTTCACGGGTTTCTCAGTGCTGTTACTTAAGGCAAACAGCATCTCCATAGAAATCGGGTGACTTAAGTAACATCGAAAACTATTTTGATCGGTAGGTGATTATGTCAAAAAGCAATTCGACTGGTAAATAAATTTAAAAATGGGATGTGATTCTATATTCGTACAGTATATAGTGTAATAGCAGGAGCATCGATTGACACTGATAGCTCGACTTTGTTTACCTTTGTTACATTCGACGTAATGAACATTTGCTCTTGAATTAAAGCTTGTTTACATAACAGCTTGCTGAACTGAATACGAGTCATTCTAAAGGGTGTCCACGATGAAATTGCCACACTATGAAATTGCTCTAACTTTTTAACCGTTGGGTAGAATTTAATGAAAATTTGGGTGGATTTAGTTCATAGTGCATTATTTACATCCTGCAAGTTTTAAAGTCCTGTGATCAAAACTCGCGGAAATGGAGTCGAAAGAACAGCTCGTGCGTGATAAAATCTTGCGCATTCATCACGAGAACAAGGATCTCTCGCATCGTTCCATCGCTAAAACGTTGGGAATCGCGAATTCCACGGTGTCGCGAGTGATTAAGCGGTTCGAGGAACGGTTGACCACCGATCGGAAGCCCAGAAGTGAAGGAAAAAGTATTCCGTACAACACCAAAAATCACAACCGCGTAGTTGGGGCCTTCAACCGAAATCCGAACGCCTCCGTTAGGGATGTGGCTAAGAAGCTGTACCTAAGCCAAAGTTTTGTCCAGAAGGCCAAAACTAAGGCTGGGCTTCGAACGTTCAAGGTACAAAAGGCCCCTAATCGCGACGAGAAGCAGAACAAGTCCGCCAAAACCCGTGCCAGGAAGTTGTACCTCAACATGCTGACGAAAGTTGAAGGCTGCATCATGAACGACGAAACATATGTGAAGGCCGACTTCAAACAGATCCCCGGTAACCTGTTTTTCACGAAGAAATTCCTGGTTTGGCAAGCCATCTGCACGTGCGGGAAGCGGAGTGCACCTTTCGTGACCCAGGACACGATTAACGGACAGGTGTACATAAAAGAGTGCCTCCAGAAGCGGCTGCTTCCTCTCCTGAAGGCCCACAACGTCCCAACAATCTTCTGGCCGGATTTGGCCTCATGCCACTACTCCAAGGACGTGCTGAAGTGGTATGCGGACAATAAGGTCAATTTCGTGCCGAAAATGTTCAACCCTCCCAACACTCCAAAGCCCCGCCCCATCGAGAAGTACTAGGCGATTATGAAGCAGCACCTTCTTAAACGACCTAAGGTAGTGAAGACAGTCGAGTAACTGAAGAAAGTATGGGTTTACATGCAAAAAACGGTTGATTCACAGGTTGTGCAGAATCTTATGGCCGGGGTTAAGGCCAAGGTGCGGGCATTTGCGTATGGACTGTAAATAAAATACGAGTAAAATGGTAAAATGAAGTTTAATAGTTATTTCTCAATCCCTGAAAATTTGATGGCAATCGGATGAAAACTCGAATTTTGCGAATCAATTTTGTGTGTGGCAATTTCATCGTGGACACCCTTTATGTGTAAGCATTTGCAAGTGTTGCTAGACAATAGGAAAAATAATGTAAAAATAACCGTGCTGCCAATTTTACTGAATTTCTATCCGCCGGTCTGTGTTAACTATACCGTCTGTAAAATCCACTAGCCCTTGATTTTATCTGTCAAACTTTCATAGCGAATCAAAACAAACATTGTGTAGTACTAGAATTTTGACTAGAATGGGATACGTTAATCGTTTGCTTGGAACCAATGGGCTAGCCAAGTAGTGAGCCAATTTTAAATCGTTAGTTTCTTAAGGCTCAAGCGCAATGACAGCGGAAGCGAAACGGCAGCGGCATCGGAAAAGCCAGATCTGAGTAAGCCTACTTGTCGGATTGAAAACTAGTTAGAACCAAATCGACTTCGGTTGGACTTTTTGATGTCATTTGTGACAACTCCCGACCAGCCGTTCGTGAAACTTCTTCAAAGTTCTTTATACAGAAATAAAGATTTATGTCGGCAATTCTTTACTTTAAATTTTCTATGATTTCGATGTACACATTTAAAAATCTTTATTGATCGATACTTACATTTAAGATTATTTCTTCATCGGTCATATGATAGTAATCTATAAAGGTGCCATACTAAATTTCTTTTAATTTCGATATGTCACATGAACTTTAGTATTCTTTACAAATATTCATCGTAATCGTAACTTTGAACTTTGACAAAGAACAACAAAGATTGCCATCGATGCACATTTATAACATAGAGGTAACTCTAAGACTAGAAGGTCCCGAAATAACTTGCTCAACTTTTTGGCTTAGCTCTGGTACTCTCTTCGGTCCCAAGCTAATCGATTCACCCCTCGAAACATAGGAAAAACCGATAACCCCTCATTTTATCTGTCAAACTTTCATAGTGAATCAAAACAAATACTGTGTAGTAGTAGAATTTCGACTAGAATGGGGT